GGGAAATACCGCTTTAGATCAGTGTTTCCCAAAGTTGGGCTTGGGACCCAATTATGGGTCAATAAAATAATTGCTGATGTAATATTTTCCCTATAATTATTACAAAAACACAAAATAAGTAAAAATAAGTATTTATATTTGTGTACAAGGTGTTTAGATTGTCAAAAAAAACCTGTGCTTTTAGGGTTATTAACGAAGCTCATGTACTCAGACCAGTAATATTTGGGGTCACAAGTTTTTGCCATGAATATTTTTGTGGATCAGAAGACAAAAAGTTTGGGAACCACTGCATTAGATTATAATACTTTGTGAATAAATCAGATTCTATAAATATCAATGTTTGATCATTTGAGCTGTCACCTGCCTGGGAAAGAGGAGCCGTGGTGAAAGAGGATCTAAATTAAAACCAAAAAGGGCAGCTGCAGTTGGTTTAACACGGATTATAGCCTGATGCCTTTTATTTTGAAGGTCAWAAGAAACTATTTCCGGCTCTCTCTGAAATGCGGCTAGCTTTAGCAGTTTCGCCACAGCTGTCGGGTCAGAATGTAACGGCCTTACTTGCYAGTCGTCAGCTGTTGCTCCGTTAAAAATAAATAAATAAATAAGCAAACACAAATCCCACGCTAGCCGGGGATTAAACTACACCAACCGCTCGGGCTACTGAAGCCGATGTCACCGGCCGGATKCATGGAGCACAGCGAACATCTCAACCATAACACTCGTCTACGCGTGCGCAGCTGCAGAAAGTTTATTTTATACTTCCGATCAAAAAAAAAGATCCCAGCTCGTGTTCTCATGTGATCATCCTGCTATGAATTTAGGTTATTGTTGGGGGCTAAAGTCTGTTYTTTCTGTACGCTTAAGGTGGTATTCTCAAACAGAGCCTCCCTCCATACATGGACCACAACACAAATAGAGCTCGACCGAGAGAATAATGAAAGAAAAAAACCGCACATTATTTCCAACTRAACACATTGTTTTAATAAAACACGTACAGCTCAAAAGCTTTGTCAACAAGCATCCCCTTTTCGGAGGTAGCAGCTGTGTGTGCTTTGGCTCTGTGGCCTTGCAGTCTTTGTTTTGACGGCGCAGAGAAAAGACCAATGTTTTTTTGTTTTTTTACCCAGGCACAGTAAAGAAATACACATCATTTAGCTTCAATCGAGAAAACACGCAATGTTAAACGGAGACTAGATGTGTGTCCTCGGTGAGACGAGCTGCCAGGCCTCGCTCGGCTGTTCGGCTGTTGTGTTGTAACAAAAACAACCGTGTTTTCCGACCTGAGCCTAAACATTGACTTGCGGAAGCATTAGCAACACATACATGCTAACGTTTCAGTGACTGTCAGTTCATTAAAAACACAACAAAACACGGTTAGCTCACCTCAAACCGGCTCCGCGATACGCCGTTTACCTCCTTCCCCATGTCGGGACTCTGGTTCAAGCCGACTCAATGAATTCGGTGACGGCGCAGACAAATACAAATACAGCCCCTTCTCACGACTATCATGTCCCCCCTCGGTCACTGCTGGCGTGCGATGTCGACGTTTTACGGCCTTTATCGCAAACAAAAAGACCCCTCGTTCGTAAAAAAAAAAAAAAAATACGAGTTTAGGTGGCAGCACTCATCCAATAAGCCAGCTCACTTCTTATCTGCTCGTCCTCTCTCCTCCTCCCCCCTACATCCATCCACACAATAGCCCCCCGACAGGAATGGCAGCTACGCCTTCACCACTTTAAAAACACTAAATGTAATAAAGTTGTCGCTCGCGCACAGCTAACTGCTTCACCGAGCTGCAGCCTCAGCTCGCAGTGAGCTAAAGATACCAGCGGGGTGTCAACCTTTTAATGCGCACACGTAGCACAAATACCTGGCCTAACTGGCTTCAGGGGCACAAGGTGATACATGTGTTAAAAGAGTTTAATCTCYCTCATGACGACGAACCCCTTTAAACTGTGCGCATATTCGTGATTTTTCCTTAAAATAACAAAAGACACGTCTATAATTAGTTTTATTTATTTTATATTATTTGTCAGTGAAATGACAGCAAAACTGGCAAACCACACCATCTGTGTTTGCCTTGTGTGACACACGAAACCATTCAAACACATCATTTTGTCATATTTACATAGATTTAAACTTTGTTATTGCAGCACTAGTCGCCACTTCCTCGTTTCTGGTTTTGGTCACGCCCCCTTACACCGCCGGAGCCAATCAGCGTTCAGAACGGCAGCTCGTCATGTTCATGCTGGGGAACACATGTTTGACAACAGCTCAATGTCTGCAGGGACACAGGCTATTTACTGGATGTTTTTTGTTGTGAAATAAAAGCAGGTTGGGAAAATAAATCAATATTTATCAAGCCAGCAGGAAAAGTAAAGCATAATCTGTACGCTTTAAAGATTTTATTTATTGATGAGACTACACAACCCTCACTGTCTGAAGTCAAGCAATAAATATTGACACTGTATATGTTTTAAAACAAACATAATTTTAATATTTCCTTTTGTTTAAGTTGGGTTCATTTTCTTTTATTGTGTTAAATAAACTTTACCACTCCTGCAGCATTTAATTCATTGACAAAAAATATTGTCATACAGAATCTGTTATCATGGGGC